CAACCGACATTTCCATATATATTCCCTGTCTCCCCTTTGTCTTCTGTTTTGTGTTGGTTTCTCTCTTGTAACACCTCTTATCTTCGGCACTTATATAACTTCCTATAGTGTTGCAAGTGTTGTAAAACTTTTACTAAAACTGAAACTCACTTTTTCAACTGATCATCTTTAACAAAGAAGGCCGTTGAGACAGTGAGAAACAAAGCTTTTAGTCTCCGCATCTTTCTTTATCAAACTCTAACGATTAAGAAACCAAACCATTAAAATTAAAAGGAAACCACAGTAAGCTCAGTTGATATAAGGCTAGATGGCTGGGCCATTGACGCTTGTTCAAACCCCTACCGTGGCATTCTTGAGTATTACAGACATCCATGTTCAAGGGGGTTTTACCATTTTGCTATATCCTACCAGCGTGAGCGTCTGTGGTGTAGCGGTCAGACGTTTCGCCATCGCAGCCAAAAGACCCTAGTTCGATTTCCGGGTGAAGGAGAACTTTGGTGAAGTATGTGTTTCAGTCTTTCTGCCGAAACTTATCCCTCTCCACCAGGGTTGACCCTGACAGACAGGGTCGAAGCCCACCTCCAAAAACGATCTAAACTGAGTCCATGGGAGCCTTTAACTTTAACACCTGCATGTACAAATTATGATATCAAAAAGAAAAACAAACTCTAGCCATAACCCTACACTAATCCTGTTCAAGCCCTCTCAACTCACGTACCCCCTCTAGTCTTTTTTACCTTCCCTCTTCCTCCAACTGAACATTGTAAATTGAAGTCGCTGAGTCACAGAGTAAAATTTTTTTAAAACACGTAGGCTGATGTGTATTTGCCAATACAAAACAGCCCTGACCCCCAAAAAGCATTAAATAATGTTTTTACGAATTGGTCGGCAGCTGTGCAAAGTAAAGAAGATAAACCTACCAGAGGCACCCACTAACCATTCGCACATACATTCATTTCTTCATCATCTTTCATTTTTTAAGACTGTGAGTGGGGTTCTGTCAAATAAACATGTCTGGGGGCTCTCGTGGCCTAGAGGTTAAGGTGTTGGCCTCTCATTCAAAGGTCCCGAGTTCGAATCCGGGAAGCAACCGAAAAAATTTCTTCTCTAAAATTGTCTCCTTTCACCTCCTTTCCTGCTCTCTAGCAATGTTCTATTGTCTGCTTTCATTTCCGCTTTCTGCCCCCCACCCCCTCACCTCCTTTGCCCCCTCGTCTGGGCTCCTGACTCTTTCTGCAGCCTTTCTACTGCTACTCCTTGGCTCCTCCTTACTGCTGTCTTTCTGCCACACTCCTGATCTTCTGGTAGGACAGATCTACACCTAGCATTCTCGGACAAGGGCGAAAAATCTCGGAGGGCCTGTATGCAAGTTGCGCACGTTAAAGATCCCTTGGTGGTCTAAAATCGATAAGAGTAGGCTTCGGCCGCCACCCGGGCAAAAATTCAAAAATTTCCTACCAACTGAAAATATTAGGAGTGTCCCGCGCGCTCATATGACCTTATGCAGTTGCGAGTGCTGTAAAACACTTTACAAAAAAACAAACAAAAAAAAGACATGTCTGGCTCTGAAACCCACATCTCTCTATTCCCATTCTTGTTAGTAGGAAAATATATGACAGGAAGAATTTACAGTAGGCCAGTTTTAATGAAAGACGTGGACAATGTTAGTCATTTGGCCATTTAGCTTTGGGAGTTGTGGGGTATCAGTATCGGTATCAGTGTGAGCTTAAAGTAAAAGGACATACCACCACAAACCTGGGCCAGAAATCTTTACCTATCATTCTGAGAACATAGGCATGCTCAAACTTAAAGTAAAACACAAAGAAAATCAGCATTGTTATATATTCGTTTATTTTCTTAGGATGTGTGTAGGGTGGTGAGGGTTATCGGATCCTTCTCAACAACAACGTCCTCCAGACAGAATAGCTGTCTGCAGTACTGATTGGTTAACCCTATCCGTACGCACTGGAGTCATTTTGTAATCCTGGGGTTGTATTCTTCACATCTTAGAATGCTTCTAGTACAAAGATCTCTTTGAAACTTTCAGTATTTCTCAAAAAATGATTTTGACAGACTACTATGCAAAGCGTACGGATCGGATTAACGAGTTAATTTCCTCTTTGGAAAGTGGTGGCACAGAGGTCCCCACGTCATATGGATACGATAGTGAAACACGGCGTACCCATAGGGTTAAGTAAAATTGCAAAAAAATAATGCCACTCAGCTAGCTGATTGAAAATTCAGTTTTCAAAATCTAAATCTTCCCTATAAATGGCTAATTCGTCGAAATGATGAGGATAAAAACACTTCACCAAAGGCAAGACTAGAGAGTATAAAATATAACTTACATGAATTTGGGACTTTCAATAAATGCCCTGACCTGTCAGCATGAAGTACAAGCAACCAAATTAACATTTCACAAGAAAATTATCCCCTGGACATCTTATCGATACATCAAAGTACCGTAGTCTGATTAACATTTTGAACATTCACCTCGACAATGCAATTACTAGAATGTTGAAAACATGGATCAAAATGTAAAAAGAGAAAAATAAGGTAACAAATTCTTTAGGTACACCGAAAACAAATTAAAATTGAGCTTATACGTAGGTCTGGTTCATTCTCTTCAAACATGCTGGAAGTGCAAGCATTGCCTTGTCTCTTTAAAGCCTTATCCGAGAAGCGGTGTTAAACAAATTTCGACAGCCTTCCCAAAAAAATCACAGCACAATAACATATTCGCACAAAGTAAGTTGCAAACAGGAGGTAATTCAAATTATTGTCGCAGTAAAGGAGTGCAAAATCCTTTAGAGAAGCAAACATAAATGTTAACTGCGCTTTCCAAAAACATCAACAAACCAGTATGGCAGCTATCCATATACACAAATATTTTCAATATGACTGACTACAACACAAGGCCAAAGAAGGTAAGAAGGGTCAAGCCTTTTGAAACACTTTCAACAAAAGTTAACAAACAGAGCAACAGGGACGGGAGCCTTATCAGACCATCATGACTTATCCAGGGGAAACTTTCCGATGCGGCCAGAGAATGTTCTTGTCAACAAATCCTCACTGAGCTCATATGGATCTTTTTAATCACCAAATACGATGACAGAGCGAATGCTGGAAAGAGAAATAAAAGCACACAGATTACAATAAGCTTCAAGCCTCCATTTCAAACAGCCATCAACATTGTGGGACCAGTCAAAATATTTTGGAGAGAGCAACTAGAAAAAACTGAAGGCACAAATACCACCAGGCCCTCTTTTTACGGGATAATTTGAAGGCACTTAATCTAGCC